CAGGACATGTGTACACATGTGTGAGCCATTCAGCCAGCGCACAGGACGATTGCTCCCTTGGATAAAAGCCTGCCTAAGATGTCTGGCGGTTGTGCAGGCTGTAGCAGGAATGTCTGTTGCTGTGGCACCAGAAGCCCTTCAAGCTTGATGCCCTGCAAGAGCAGTGTGCCTGGCAGTGGCTGTGCAGACAGAGCCGGCCTCCATGTATGGAGAGGGACCTGTAGCTGAACAGGAGGGAACTTACTCTTCATTACTCCGGGCGTCCGCACGGACTAGGGGCCTGGATACGATCTGAGCGTGGGCATGAGCTGTCCAGCTGAGGGCATAGTCTGGGCACATCAACCCTTAATTTCCTCCTTGTACTTCGGACCTGAGCTGGTTCTAACCTGCCTTCAGTGGTTTCCAATCCCCAAGGAACAGGGACACGGGGCATAACCGGAAGGAGAATGTAGGCACCTCTTCTTGGTGCTATGAGGTGTCTCTGCTGGGGAGATCTGCACATCCATAAGGGAAGCTGTGGCTTCCTCTTTCCACTCTCTGGAGACACCCAGGCACCCATCCTGTGTGTTGTTGGGGAGGAGGTGACTTGGTTGGCTGTTCCTTGTCCCAGTCAGGGTCCTCCTACACAGCAGAACTGGAGGTAAATACTGAGTTGCCTTGACAACCAAGCTGAGTCTGGGCTCCAAGTGCTCCTGGCTTGAGAAGCTTTCATTGTCTCAAGTTTCTAAGATGGGTTTCTATTTTGATTTTTTTTTTTAATTAGCTAGTATGACTAAGATTGCAAAATGCCTGACCTGGTTCCTGTAATTTCTTAATAAACATTTATACTCTTTTTATAGGAGGAACATTTCTGTGATTCATTGACTTTTTCTTTTAGGTTGGTAAGGCAGGGTGGGGGCAGCACAGAGGGCACCCCACTGTTGACAGCTGGCACAGCGTAGGCTTCAGAGTACTGGCTGAGAGCCAGAGACGGGGAGCGCTTACGTAAACACCACACCAGGATTTATTGGCTTTGAGGCTGATTAAGTTCCATGGAAAATTTTGGGGAGCTGGTTCTCTTCTCCTGGAGTGTTCAGATGCCCATAAGTGGAGCTTCCAGAGCCCAGGGGCCACCTACCTTCCAGATCAGGGCCAATCCTCCTGGAGGAGGCTAGGGTGTGAACTCATTTTACACCTTAGCCATGCCAGTAAAGATTATGTTCACTGTTAAACTCTAACTGCTCTTGTAGGCAGCTTGGCAGCCTGGGCCATCTGCACCTGGCCAGGCTGTCCTGCCCACATGCTGTTGGTGGGAACGTCCCTGTGGGAATGGCCAGCCCGTGAGTGGATTCAGCAGCAGGTTCCCAGGCCTCCTGTTTTGCCAGGGTCTTTGCTCTGCCTCACTGTCGGCCACCTTATACAGAGTTCCCTGCCCAACAAGGAGCCAGGTGAGTGTGCAGGGAAGCGGATTCATTCATTTTCTGGCCCCTAATGGCTGCTCTAGGTCACCTGATGGATAGTTTATTCAGTGAGGCTTTGGTCATCATGGTCATGCAGAGCGCCGTGAGTCCTATTCCAAGGGGGCTGGGCTGTTTTATGGACCCTTTATCCCCTGTCCTCAAGGGCCCGCCTTGAGTGTGAACCTGTCGGGAAAGCACTTCCACAGTAGCCCCTTAAGAGTTGCCGTGTGTGGCAGGGCCCCAACCCAGCACCAAAGGACTGTCCAGTCTTGCTGTGCCAATTTCAGAATCAATGCTGGCATTGCTTTGCACAGTCCAAACGGCCCAGCTCTGCCTGCTTTCACTAGGGAGCAGCAGCTGACCCCCAGCAAGGGACCCAGCCCAGCTCCTGGGCTGCATGGTGTTCCCTCCATTGAGAATGCCTCCCCCCCCCCAACTCTTTGTAAGTTAGGCATGACCCTCCTAATAGGATCCTTTCAAGCATGTTTGCAGAATTGTTCTTTGTTAGTTTTTATTTATTTATTTATTTTTAGGATTTACTTCATACTGTTAGAAAAACGAGTAGAGTTGTTAGCATTGTGGCAAGGGGTGTTAAGGGAACCCAAAGCATGGACATTTGAGACTTTCATGTGCTATGTGTAAGGTTCGGTGGTGTTGCTGCCTCCATCCCTGACCAACCGTGTGAGCTTAGGCTTCATAGGTGGCGTGTCTTAACACCTTTTTTTCAAAAGCTTCCGTGTTTCATCTCTTACGTTGGTATATTTTGTTTATGTGTGTGCATGCACACACATACATTCAGTGGCATAAACATGAAAATCAGAGGCAGCCTGGGGGAGTGGTCTCTCTCTCTCTCTCTCTCTCCCTCTCCCCCTTTCCCCTTCTCTCCCTCTCTTCCTCTCTCATCCTCTCTCCCCCCCCCCCCCCTCATGTGGGTTCCCGAAACCAAACTCAGGTCTTCAGGCTTGGCAACAGTTGCCCTTACCTGCTGTGCTACTTTGCTTTGAGGAATGCAGTGGTGCCCCATTGGGTAAACAAAGATACGTCTTATTAATAAGGAGGCTTGATCTCGAGGTATGAGTGGGCTGAACACCATCCTGAGTTTTCATCCTTAATTCCCATCTGTCTGGTCATGAGGACCTCTAAGAGCAGAAGAGAAAATGACCCAGGCATCCAAGAGGGGTTTGTACCCAGGTGAGAGAGACAGAGACAGAGACAGAGACAGAGAGAGAGAGAGAGAGAGTTAGTTTAGCCTGGAAAAACGGAATTCCATGTTCTGCAGTTTTTAATGTGTAAATATTTTGCCTGTAAGTTTGTTTACCACGTGAATGCAGTACCTGCAAAGGCCAAAAGAGGGCTCCGGCTCCCATAGTGCTGGAGTTATGAACAGTTGTGAACCACCGTGTGAGTGTTGGGAACTGAACCTGGTCATCTGTAAGAGTAGCAAGTGCTCTTAACCATTGAGCCACCTCTCTAGCCCCATGTCCTGCAGCTTTGCTCTTGGGTACCTAGCTAGATCTTTCTGCTTCTTTTCATGCCCTTGGATACTCATGGCCTTCTCTGAAGGATTTAGCAATAGTGGGGAGAACTGCAAGCTTCCATGAGCATCCATCTTTGTATTGCTGTGGAGACCTTGTTGCTGGGTGCTGAGCTGTGCTCCTTCTAGAGAGTGACAGCCCCTCCTCAGGTGAGTCTCCTTTGTTACTAGGTAACCAAGACCTCCCAGGGCCCAGCAGATTGTATTCAATTGGTATTCAGAAGCAGGTAAGCTGGAAACCTCAAGGAGAAAGACTCAGATAAGGCTCTGTGGTCTGAGGGCTAGTGCCCCTCCCCATGTCTGTAGTTTTGGACAGTTTCCCAGCAGGAGGCAGCAATGCCAGCCTTGCTAAGTGACTCCACCAAAAAAGAGAAACAGTCCCTAGTCCAGGAGAACTGTGGGCTAGACTCTGCAGAGTCTCGGGCAAGGATATTAGTCTGTTATTCAGGGGAGACTAGCACCCTCCAGGTACCATATCAAGTTTTGTCCCTGAGAGTCCTTCACGGTCTGAAGAATGCAGAAATTCCGTTTGTAGAAACATACCCAGTATTTCTGTAGAACCCTTGAGCAGACTCACCTCTGCAGTGGTGTGTGGATGTGAGCTGTGTCTGGGGCCTTCCTGGGATGCTCTGGTTTCAGCAGACATTCTTCTCATTTTCCCAGAGAGATTGCTTAGGGGAGCTTGAGCCACACCCCCAGCCCCAGTGTGTGTGTGTGTGTGTGTGTGTGTGTGTGTGTGTGTGTGTGTAATTGTGAGGGCAGCAATTCTGTTTGCAAATGCAAGAATTGTTTCCTAAAGGGAAGCCCGGAAGTGTTTTTGAGGTTGGCTCTTTGACTGTGAACCGCCCTTTCTTACCTCTTTCCTGTCTCCTTGGCACCTTCGTGTTAGTGTATTTGGCATGAAAACGCTTCCTGTGTGGTCTGAGGTAAACGTGTTGAATGGCTATAAATAAGAACATGGCTTGCCTTTCTCCCTCCATCTGATTGCTCCAGAGGATGCCTAAGAATGCACCACTGTGTGGAGCCTGCTCGCTGGGTAGAGGAGGGAATGGGACGCTTCCTGGGACATGAGGTGACCTTGGCCTTCTACACTGTCCAGGACCCTTTGCTCGGACAGTGGGCGATGCTGCCTTGCGACTCCATATCCTGTCCCTGTGGTCTTTGGGATGGTCTCTTCCCTCTTGCTCTGTGCCTGCTGTACCCTGCACAGGGCCTGCTGCTTAGATATCTGTCTGCTCAGCACCACCCTGGGCAAAGCAATGGCAAGGCCATTTACTGACCACTTTTGGATGTCTCGAAGACCATGGGGGAGTAAGTAGGAAAGCAAAGCTTGGGGGCTGTCAGGGCAGAGGTATACAGGATAGACTCCATCTTCCAGGAAATATCCTAGACCCACCCACGTACCGTGGATGCCTAGGCCATGTGCTAACCTGGGTTTTGCTTCCAGTCGTTTGTCTGTAGCAATAAGGAGAATGGTAAGACATGAAGACCAGTAGGGACTGCTGTGAAGACCGCTGGAGTCTGGTACTGACACATCCCCGCAAGGACCGGGTGTCTGCCCGTGAGGTCCACCCTGGTTTGTAGAATCTCAGCCTAGGTTTCACTGGTAGGTGACAGGTACAACTACAGAAGAAGGGCCGAGAAAAGAGCTGGATTCAGGCTCTGCCACCATCAAACCCTGCACAGCAGGGTGACCCTGTACCTCCCGCTGGAGGTGCCTCTAGGAGGTCTCCTAGAGAGGCCTGAGTGGGTGACTTGCAGGCACCCTGGACTCCAATACATAGAATTAGCCAACCCAGTTGCCTTAATAGATTTGGGAGGTGCTAAGACTTCTGCATCTTGAGGCTACCACTCTGAGCAGTGTCCAGCTTGGAAGTGGTCTCTTGTCCAGCAATTCAGCCTGGTTCCCCTCTCCTCTGTGAGGTGTATCATCATTGCCCACAGAGGCCTGTGAGCCACGTGCCACTATGACTGGTCAGTGTTACTTTTGTATGAAAGGTCTAGCTTTCAAGGATGCCTTTGGCCCGGGAAATCAGCCTTCAGCCTTGAGACACACCTAATAACACTTTCCAGCTCCTCATGAGCACTTGGTACCTGTGAGCTTTAGTTTCTCTGTTTCTCAAATAGTGGCCTTGCCTTTGCCCTATTGCCCATGGGCAGGAGGCCTCATTCACTTAGGGTCTGAGGCTCAGTTCTCTGCCTGGCTCTTTTTAATTATTTATGTTAATCAGTTTTTAATTTATTTTTTATTATTTATTTTGATAATCTTTCTCCTACCCAACTTCTTCCAAATCCTCCCCACCTCCCTGCCCACCCAACTTCATGTTTCTCTCTCTCTCTTTCTCTCTCCCTCTGTCTTTATGTCTCAAGAAAGAATCAAAACAATGAACTCACAAAGTCTGTTAGCATTCATAGGTTCAAATCAGAGGAAATCCAGCATGGAGATGGGAAAGTAGATACAAAATCCCACCCACTAATGACGAAACCGTTGCAGTTGATGCCCACTGGCAAAGGAAATGATAAATTTTCTCCAGTGGATATATCAGCCACACTGCGGGGCAGGCCCCATACTCGGGAGTAGTTGACTAACACAAAATTGACTCCATGAATTTTTCGGTTTTGGTCCTGTTTTTTGTTTTGTTTTGATGTATGTATGTATGTATGTATGTATGTGTATTGTCCTGTCTGGTTCTCTCCTCCTTACACACTAAGCACAGTCCATGGCCAAATGACCGTGTGAGGCCGGTGCAGGATTGGGGAAGGCAGCTAGCTAGGTGGAGTGGAGACAAGAAACTCTTGATAAAAGTAGAGGCTGAGACCCCGGTCTGGAACCGCTCAGCATTCCCAGGTGTTCTGCCCATGATGCTTCTGGGAAGTTCAGGGCTAGGCTCTGCTCAGTGTGAGCTGTGGAGGCATGAGGCAGGAGCTTGCCACCTCCTGTTCCTTCTGAGTTTGACCTGCCTGCAGCCTGGGAGAAGCCTGGTTTTAGGGAGAGAGATGATGGGACAGGGTCAAGGGTGAAGGGCAGAGAGAAGGGGCGCTGAACCTCACTTTGTCCATGTGTTGTGGGAAGTGCTGGGTAGGTGACGTGTGGGGTTCCTCTCCTTATTCCCCAAATGTTGTGAGAGTTCTGGTTTGTCTGGTTTCCCTGTCTCTTGAAAACTGGAGTCCCTGAGATCTCGTAGTTTGGGGAAGCTTGTGTTCCTGCCCCAGCCTTCTTGGACAGCCTCCTAGAGCCTCCCTCCTCCTGGAGGGACATGCCTAGTTGGAGTGTTGGGGTGGGGCAGGTCTAGGCAAATGTGCACAGCAAATGACTGTGCTGTGCTTGGAGGCAAGCAGCAGGTGGGGGGGCGGGCAAGGGAAGTGTGTCCCCAGATCATATCCTGAGACTGAAAGTCCTTCAGTAAGTGCGTGGTGTGGACATAGTGGAGAAAATAAGGGTATGAGCTGCTCT